TTAATGTGTAATTAATACAATGATGAAAATCTTCTTTCAGGCTTCCAGATTCTAAAATTTTCACATTTTTAAATAGGTTCCTTAAAATCATCAAATCTGAAACATGTTTACAAAAAAAGTAGAAATTTTTTCATTTAAAAATCAATTGAATATTTTATAAAAGGAAAAAAATACTGAAACTGTTTCAATAATGAGAAAGAAACTAAAAAAGTTTACTCTGTAAACAAAGATTTGAGAAGGATTAAAATTTTAAAACAAATGCATGATGTCATTTTCTTTTCAAGCATATGAACTGTGACTTAAAATTCACATTCTGACAGGTAAAGAGAGTTGAAGTAGATAAAAAACATGTTTATGAAGGCTCAAGAAATGTTTGCTAATTACACTAATCACATATTTAACAGATGCTAATTAAATTATTTCAAGCTCAACAAAGTATAATTCCAGCTCAACACAAAAGAGAATTTAAGAAAATTTTCAAATGGAATAGAAAAGAAAGAAATTTTTTCATTTTTGTTTTGTCAAATATTTTTATCAATTTACTTAACAGGAGTTCTTTTTTGTTCAGTATGCAGAACAAATTTCAATTCTGAATTGAATACCTGACCTATCAAAAATATTAACTTTCTACTTTTGAAAAAAATGCCACATTACAATTCAGTATTTTTAACATGTAATTAGTGATATTCATACAAATAATATACACATAAAAATTCATTTACTGAACCAGCTTGTTCTTTTTGTTTAGTGTTCATTATTGCTAGTCAACTGCTTATGGGGGTTTTAAATTAGGGTTATTAATTGACCACATTTTCACTGAATAGTCAAAAACCCAGCACCAATTACAACTGAACTCAAAGTGGCAAAACAAAAGTATTAAAAAAAAAATAACAAAAGAGAGAGAGATTTTAAATTTAAATTAAGAAAACATTTAATCATGGATGAAAATAAGCATTGTTAAAATTCAAATTTATGCTTTTACTAGGCATTTATTTAATTGAGAACAAATTTAATGTTTTATTATGTTGCCCTCATCCCATCATTCCTCCACATGTAGTAAGTGATTTTTTATTTTTGGTGGGGAGGTACTTAAGAAATGGGTCAGAAGTAGTTTGTTGTGGTGAATACTAACAGAAAAGTAAAGATGGGATCTCTTAATCTGTCTTTTGTAATAGTGCATTGTTGCTCAACTCAAGATGCTAAACTTGATGACCTTGTAAAAGTTTGCCATGTTGACAGCATTTAGTTTTTATCAAATCTCATTGAAATTGTTTCAATTTTCCATTCAACCCGAATTCAGCTTGCATTATTGAAAAACAGCATTATTAATACATACCAAGTTAAATGGAAAATTTATCAAGAGCTTTTTGTCCCATTAAAAAGATAAATTATACTACAATGCTTGACACTTTATAGAAACTAGTTCTTTTTATATACTTTAAAAATATTTATCTTTCTAAAATGATTATTACATTATAGGAAGATATATCTTACATTTATTCTTGCAAATATATTCAGAAATGCTTTTTTTTAAACAATTCAAGACCAGCATTTTTTTTTATTTGAGTCAACAATACATTAAAACACAAAAATGCAATTTTCATGAAATATCCTAATAGTTCAAAGTGATTTATCACATATCACTTTTGAAGTCATTGTCAATTCAAGTTCATCCAAAGTCAATCTTTTCAACTAAGAATCATTAATCAAAAATTAAAAAGACAATATTTGAGTCTTTTTATAAATGAAGTAACAAATTAATGCGAGTCATAAACCAAATTTAAAAAAGGTACAGTTTAAAGCTTTTGGTTATGCCAAAGAAAAAAAATCAACATGAAGATTGGGGAACAACATTAATTTCTCTGATAAATTTCTCAAATGATTGGTTTAGTTCACAATAGAAAAAAAAGTAAACACTGATTGAATTTCTTTTTAGAATACAATTTTGGATTCTATCAAAAAATGAACAATTATTAACAGAACTGAAAAGTAGGAACTTTCACAACAAAAAAGTCTATAGTTGACAATTAACACTTTTAATCAAAATTATAACTAAAGATTTTATTTTATTTTATATTTAAACTAGGCTCCATACTTTTTTGGATGATATCCTTTATTTACTCATTATGGAATTTATCTATGTTCTCTAGACTAATTTTGATAAACACTGCTACACATTATCTCACTTGAAACAAATTAGCACATGGATTAAAATACAAAGGATTAATAAAAATTAAAAGTACATTTCTCAGATTGGCATGAAATATCAACTAATGAAGCATAAAAAATTGAAAATCAATTGAACTAAAGAAAAAAGACAATAGACTTCAAATGTTACTTGAAGATTAAATTGACAGTTCCATATGGCTGATGGCATGAATGCTCATCAAAATTGTTAAAAGAAACTTACATTGAGGAATATTAAACTCTATTCAATTCATGTTGTAAAAAAAGATGATGTCAGAATTTAAAATAACCAGAATTTAATTGAATAAGACATAAAGACTAGTTAAAGACTCAGTTTTTTGGATTTGACGCTTTTAAATTCCTGTTCGTTCTTTCAAATCATTTGGGATTTTTTAATAATTCATGTATTGTAAATCAAATTATGCAATCTTATTTCTTAAGTATGGTATATATATTTTTTAAAAATTTTAATTCAGCTACTAAATTTATCATTTATTTTTATTTATTGCATCTTCCTAAAGTAAATCAGTGAATACCAGATTAGTCAGGTAAAAAATGCTTAAAAATTTCTTTAAAACTATTTTTTAATTAAAATATTTTTTACAACATTCTACACTGCGGGTGGGGGAAATAAAATTAAAAAGTAAAAATTGACCATCTCAAAAAAAAAAAAAAAAATAGAAAGAAAAAAAAAAGAAGGAAGAAATTTAAACGCTTTTTCACTTAATTTCATTTCATCATGTATCGAATTTCTGTTTTGCCGGTCATAAATACAGACTTTAAAAAATATATTCGAACTAATGAATGCAATTATTTTGGGATTGACGGATTTTTAATTGTCAGAATTTCAACATTGATAAGATTAAGAATCATTAATAAGGAAGGATCAAGTGAAATCCAATGAAAGTAATTTAAACATATCTGTAAGTAAGAGAAGCAGAAAACTTAAGGCAATCTTTTGCGTTTTGAAACAAAGAAATAAGGAAGACGGATCAACTTTTAAGGAAAGTAACGAAGAAGCGCCAATGTAAACATTTCCTCTTCTTTTTTTTTTCTTTTTTTATTCAAAGTAAAAATTTTGAAAATATGATAATACAACGTTAAATGAAAACCATTAATGGTGCAACATGAAGTGTTTTTGAACAGAGTTCTGAAACTGGTAAAGTGCGCTAACGTCCTTTATGACTTTTTAGTTTAAATAATAACAATCAAAAGAAATCAAGTACAAAAATCGTTTCGTTTTTAGAGAAAACAGGGACACGTTGTTCAATGCCTTTTTCAAACAGCAACCAAAAAATGATCAAATCAAATCACACGCTACAAAAAAATGACGACCTATCGATCAACTAACTGTAAATAATATCCGAAATATTTAATTGAAAAGCCAGATAATTTTACAAGTTATAACCAAATGTACCAGAATGAAAAACAGAAAAAAGAAAAAGTTTATTTTAAAAATGTTAAGCAAATTCACATACGTGTGACTTGGACTATGTTTGTTATGCGTGCAAATTGTTAAGTAGTCACTTCAATTATATGATTTTTTAACAGTAGAGGTTTATATAAATCATCATTTGATGGGGATTATTAACGAATAAATTTTCATTTAAGTATTTTTATAAACATCACATATTTTCTTGAAAACTCAATGTGTAACAAACTCAAACGTTTTCCTAGTGTCATTATTTCCGTATCGAAAACGTCAAGGACCATCAAGAAACCGTAACGTAGAGTAGTGTAAGTGAAATGGGTTCTGTTCAAATGTAATAAATGATTAAATCAGAAAAGACAGATTCTTCCATTAAACAACAGAGAAATAATTCAAATCAATTTAAAATTGAATAAACTGTTCCCCAACCACTTGTTTCGCTAGGTGTCTATACTAAGAAGATAACGTCCACTTCTGACATTCATTATTGCCACTGGTGTTTTAAAAATAAAGCCGCAAGAAATGGCGTGAAATGAAAAAAGAAAATATTAATTAGATCTGTAATTACAACAAAAAAGAAAAGCTAATCCTAGACGGGTAGTTACTTCCCTCATTTCAGCTAATGACTTAGTTAAAGTTAAACAAAAAGAAGCAGAGAAAATATAGTGTGGAAATGCAATGATGAAGGGAAAAGCAAAAATCGCCATATCATCCTAAGGAAAAGGTAGATTCTTTCTTCTTACTCTCCTTTTTAGAGATAGTGGCAGCAGTTGTGTTGGAAAAGAAGACAGGCCAGTCAAGTTGGATCGCCGTAGTTGTGCTACTAAAAGGAGGAAGAGGAGAAATAATTAGAGTTGATGTCGATGACCCACGCTAAATTTCTTCGCCTTTTAATTAAACCTTGATACATTTGAAAGTTAACTGAAAGAATGTTGGCTTCCAAGACAAACGGGCAAGTAATCAAAATTTAATTATATATATTTATTCGAGCCAAAAATGAAAGATCAAAAGAAAGCAGGCGACTATTACGGTCTTATCTTGCAGCATGTTACTGTTAAAACAAATGTATTCATTTCTCATAAGAAACCTAGCTTGCTACTTTTATTTTACATTTTACAATTGATTAGAATTATAAAAATAAACGTAAAAAAAAAACGAATGAATCGTGGAATAGGCAGAAAAAAGTGCGGATAAAACATCCATCAAATATTTTCCAGTTTTTATCTATTTAGAACCGGAAGAAAGAAGGGTGGAATAAGAACACGGACGATAATATTATTTATTAACTCGACCTCGCATCAGTGTTTTTGCTTTATTCCTTTTTTGAAAATTTTAAGTTAATGGTATCAACACATTGACGTGACATTTAAAGTAATGGTCTTACCGTAAAAATATCCAAATGCTATAATAATAGTTACAATAGCTTTCATGCCTTGCTTGTTCCCAGCTTCATCTGGGCTTGAAGAAATGCAGCTAAATCCAAATGTTTACTACTGTGCTGTAGTAGTAGAGAAATTGCGAGTGTGCTACACGGCGAATGTCTTGGGATGGGCGGAGCTGGCACTGGAGGGGTGGGTATGCTGAGTGTGACATGGAAATGACAGCAAGTGGGCTGGACTAGACACTGAGCACAGCTCACCTTGGAATTGCTTTCTTGTTTGGTGGTGGTGGGGACCGACACATACGACTGGAGAGATATTGCACTTGGAAATGTTAAAAAAAGAAAAAAAAAAAGGATCTTTCTTTATATTATAAAAGAACATAAAGCCAAATGACTTTTACATGGATTCAATATAGAAAATTAAAAAAACTTTTATTCTCTACGCTACGGTTATCGAGAGTTTTAAAAACAATAAATTTAAGGAGCTAACAAATTGTCAAATGAAATCCAAAGTCATCGAATAATAATGGGTTATAGAAAAACTAAAAGCATGCATAAAATTTACAAGCAAGCATCTATTGATTGAAAGAAGTAATGATAATGTCCCCGAAAAAAATGTCTGTCTTGAATTACCGATGATATTTTCACAAGAACACTGACGTGAAGAGCTTTGTAATAATTGTTAGCATTTAAAATTTAACCACTAAAAAAAGCTAGTGATGAAAATATCGGTGTAAACCATTGGATTTATTTATTGATACGAAATATTCATTTTAAAGACATAGCTCATTTCTTCCAATAAAAACTTAAAGCATCATGAAAATGTTCCTAAATTACTGATAGACAAAAGTTTGAAACATGAGTCACTTCGACTGTGGTCGTACGAGCCTTCATTGCAAATTTTGCAGATATAGTTAGACCGACGGCGTTGTCATTGAGAAAATGTTTCATTGTCTATTGGTGAGCAAGACATTTTCTTCTCGATTAACAATTATCATTTTAATTTCCTTTCAAAAGGCGCGTGGAAAAATGTTAAAATATCTTGCTTCAACAAACACGTAACTTTTTCGGCACTAAAAGTCAAACCAAACAAGACAACGAAGGTAATGAAATACAGTTTGTCACTCAACAAACCTGATATTGAAATCACACTGTGAAGATTTCTTCACGCCGGTCTCTCCGAAGCAAACTAAATAAATAATTTCTCACATTTTACTAGAAAGTCTTTTCTGTAAAAGGTCATTTTACTTTTTGAGTTAAAAATTTAAAAAATCAAAATCCTGGTAGTAAGAATCGAACTTGTGATATTAACTCTCGAACAATTTGTTGAATGCTCTGATTTTGCCTTAATTCTCATTTTAGGCAAATATTTACGAAGCTTAATCTGGCGCAAGGCCATGGTAATAGAGCGCTAATTGTGGAGTGAATTCTCGAACAATGACTTTCAAAATTAGCTTGTTTGCTAATCATTGCTCTACAGTAGTTGCACTAATTCTTGATTTTGGTGATCTTTATTCTTCTACCCGAGAATAAGTGACGTTTGATCGAGTAGCCTACTTTAGTAAAAAGGTTACAGACAGGGGTTAACAAAATTACTTTACTAACTACTGATCTACAAAGCAGGGTATTCACTATTACTGTGCATTCCATTAACTTAAAAAACGGAATGTTTTTAACAAGTTCATTAAAATAGGATCAAGTAGCAAGTTTGCAAAAATGCCTGTCACGATATTTTGAGAATTCGTATTTCAAAGATTCCAAAACTATAACATTTACTAAGCATTGCTTAGTTTAGTACAAGGCCTCAACTAAAGAGCACTAGGTAAGAATCGAACTCATTATTCAATAGTAATGATCATACAGACTAGTTAACTACCCAAACTGTCAGAGTGTACGTGAGATAATCATGTTAAAATTGTATATGTTGACAAAATATAGCATATATCTTCTTTATGTGCTGTGTCCCCTCAGGACGTAGGCGATCATGGCTCTCCACAAATTCCTGTCCTTTGTAGTTCTTAATAATTTTTTTTTTTTTGCTGTTATTTCTCCGAAAGTGTGTTCCGCCATCCATTTACTCAAACTCAATAAGTATGTTATGCTTTCTTTTCCTCTGTCCCTCTTGCCTTCAATCTGTCATGTGAGTATTAGATTTTTCAAGCCCTCTTTCGTGATCATGTGCTCTAGAAATTCCAACTGTTACTTTCTGATGTTAAGTATAAATTTCCTTTCTGTTTCCATTTTCTCTAAAACTTAAATCTATACCGGATTAATTCTCAGGAACACTCAAAATGAAGCAAGAATTGATATTCCCTGTAGAAATTGAAGATGTCAAACATTTCTCTCCCTTTCAAAGAGGGGGGGGGTTGCTGCCTAGAAAACTAACAGGCTTGTTTTAATCTAGCACAAATTGGGTACCAAATGTTAATCGAACTCAAACCCTAACCTTTACTCTATCAATGATCTATGAGACTAACTTCCAATAAGTCATTAAATCTTAAAAAGCAACTTTTTTTACAAGCGTGAAAATAAAAATAAGCTGACAAGTCGCCGAGAATTTGTAGTTTGATGAAAAAATCGGTAAAGGAAAATATTTTAAACAATTGTTACAGTCCTTCTCTTTGATTTCTGGTTTAAAGCCATTTGGGCGCTAAGTTTAATCAAGATAATGCATTTCCAGTCAGATTGTTACAAATTAACAAATATGTGAATTTTTTCGAACCCGCTATATCTGCCACCAGATGATAAATTTGTATTCGTATACGTGCGTATTCATTCAGAGCAAATAAAAATTAATCTATTTATTTCAACTAGAGACTGATCTTTGCCATGAATAGGTTGTGTTAAGAAAACAAACTCGATAGCAAATACTTTTTTCTCTCACCATGTTAAAAAAAACACCCAGATGCCATTCTTATATAATGACAAGTTTTAGCGTGGGACTGAATTCTGCTTATTTTCTAAAATTGTTGGATGCCTGCTGAAACTGTCGAATCTTTAATATGCATCACTTTTAGTGCCAAACCGTCTAGAAATAGATCATTATGGAATGACTGCTCTTTCTTCAATAGTGGCAGTTTTGAGAAATATCTATCGAGATCATTTGAATTGATTTTTTTTTCATGCCTACTTACATCAAAATAACACTATCAGCAAATAAATAAATCCTTAAAGTTTTATCATCATTTTTACTTTTGTTTCATGTGATGAGACATCCATTATCTTGAAGAAGACGTTGTGGTTTTCTTGTTTCAGTGTTTAAAATTGCTCAACCACACTGCCCTGAGCAACAGTAAGCAAATTTCAATGAACCTTATTTGGATTTATTTTTATTTACGGTATTCGTTTCCAAATGATGATCTCTTTAGATAATAGGTTACTTTATAAATTAAATGCCAATCATTGTTTGTATTATTTGGCCTAACGTATCGTATAAAAATATTTTTTAATAAATTATAATATTAAATTGTATGAAGAACTAATTAAGAAAATTAGAATATTACTAACGCGGTTTCTTTGAAAAAGAAAGCACCAAAATGGAGCCAAATGGTTTATTAAAGAAAATACCTGAATGAAAATTTATCTGTAAAAAATTTGCGAAAAGTGGGCTTCAAAATGATGTTATTAAAGCCCCAACAAAATGAAGCCATATAGTTTATAAAAAATACATGAGTAAAAATTTATGTTCAGAAAAGGGCTTCAAAATGATGTTATTAAAAACTGCCGATTGTTTTATGAAAAAAAAAACGTGAATAAAGATTTGCAAAAAAGTGGACTTCAAATTGATGCTAAAAGAAACCGACAAAATCTAGCGAAACGGAACAATCTGTGGCAAAGATTTACAAAATGAGGATCAACTTCAATGTTGACAAAAACCCACCAAATATAAATTGCAAACGGGTATGGTTTGATTGGATAGTGATTCTCGAGTTTTAGCCAATGGAGACATAAAGTATGTTTGGCTCACCCATTTGCTTTATAAAAGAAAAATTTTGTCTGCGAAGTCAGAAAGAATTCGACTTAGTCGAGAAATGTTGTGATCTGAAACGAGAAACACTGCTTCTACTGTTGAAGAAGAAGAAGAAGAAAGAGCAAGGATTTTTTAAGTTTAATATGCGAATGTATTTTCTAAACATATGAGTTTTTTTTTTAACCTATATACAAATGTCTTTTCTAAACTTATGAATTTATTTCATTTGAATGTCTTTTCTAAACCCATGAGATTTTATCTCCTATTTGAGAACACCTGTACCAATAACCTGAATATTTTTGACTAAAGGGCCCAGAGAACCAACTTTGCTTAAGATTGATTCTTTCTCACCACCTTCGATCTATGACCTTTCGAATATGTGAACTTCTTTTGTTGTTAAAAAACTGATTTGCAAGAACTGTTGTTCTATAAGAAAGTAATCATTTTTTATCATTTTTTAAATAAATGTTTATTTCTTTATTTTATAGGTTTCACTTTTAGTAAGAGTCTTGCTTTTTTCGTTAGCGCGTATGAAAGTATTTGTAAAAGGACGGATAAGAGAATTGAAATCCTCCTCCTCTTTCTCTTATTCATTCTTTTTCATTGATAGTGTAAAGATAACTTATCAAAAATATATTCATATTCTTCTTATTCTTAGTAAAATGTGTTATCAAAAGATATGAAATAGATTATTATGAAATGACTGCACTTTCTTTAGTGATAACAGTTTTGAGAAACTTAATATCGAGATTACTTGAAATGATTTTATTCATGCCTACTTACGCGTTAGTAAAATATTTGTAGACCATTGTGTTCGATCCTCACTGGGTGCTTCGTACCTGTGGCATTGTGCCAAATTAAGCTAAGCTTTGTCAATAATAACAACAACAAAAACAACTGTGAGACTTAATCATAACAGCAAATCAGTGATTTTCATTCAAGATTTTCTTGATAGGATGAGGTTACTAATGCCACCGCAGTGTGTCAAGATTTTCAAGCAGATATGCGTGTTACGTTGGATTAGGAAGATAAGCTAAGTATAATCGTGCACAAATTCTTACTACCGGGGCACCCAGCAAAGATCGAACTCAATAATGGCTTGCGAAAATAAATTGTTAAACCATAAATGTTTCCATCGCATGTGGCTATGAAGCAAACTTTAGATAGACATTTTCCTCTGAAATAATTAATGAAAACTAAAAGGATTTGGCCTTGGGTCGCTAACGAATATCTAAAATAGTTTTTTTGACGGATAACATTATTGAGGAATTAAAAACATTGCGCATTATTTGAGGTAAACATTGGTAAAACACCAGTCTCCATCGCACTAAA